CCGGAACATAACAACAACCTCATCACGCAGGATCTCACGCATCCTGGCATCCAACTCGTCCATACTCATCTGACCAATAACCCCAGGTTGTACCGATCCACCCTCATCACCCTCTCCTGATCCCGATATCGATCCGGATTCTACCCCGAGATGTCTCGTAATCGCCATACTGCAAATGCACCACAAGATATTAGGCATTGCTCATAGTAACCCTGAGAACCAATTCCCAACAAAACCCTAGGGGTTGTGACTTCCTTGATAGGCATATGGGTCCTGTGATTTCAGTAGTACGGGCCCATACTACCTTCCAGACCTACCTATATTTTTATCAAGTATCACCACAACACCCTAAGAATATCATATACATAACGAATACTCGATCCCCCATTCCTAGAGGAGCACCACTATCCCATAATCGGCCTATCGGTCTCAGGTAACTAAGCGTACCTACTCGTTGAGTCCCTTCTTCGAAATTACACTTAGCACCCTTGACTTCTTATTCCGAACTTAGTATGTTACATCTTCTTCCTTAGGGAGAATTGGTCTTCAAGAGGTTCATTTGGTGGTGTAAGCTTGGGATTTGCAAAAGAGGAAGTTGGCTAGGAAGAACTTGGGAGTTTGGAGGTCATGGATCTGGAATAACATCATCATTTGGAGCTCTTTTGAGGTATAAAGTTCATAAGTTTATTTAAGAATGCATAGATTTTGTGTAGTGAAGTTTTGGAGTTGTTTTGGTCCTAAGTTTGGACCTTTATGTTGGAATCTCGTTTTTAACCTTAGGGTTGTCACCCTCAGAGCTAAAAGGGTCCCATAAGCAGTAAAGTTTCAATATTGATGGTCCTAATGAGTTCATGCATGATATCCAGCCCTTGTTATGGAAGTATGTTGTTGCCTTTTGAGTTTGAGTTTATTTGGTGGATTGCAAGTCACCAAGATTATGACTTTAAGGATTAAGAGGATGATAAGGATCTGGATCTGAATTTGTAGTCTCTGGAATGAAGTAATAAGCACTTAATGGAAAAAGGGCTTATCAGGAAGGTTACGCTGAGGGTACGTGCAGCCGTGCAGGTACGCCCAACGTACTTGCCATCGAGTCGGTATGCTTAGCGTACATAGGTGTACGCCCTGCGTAACTTGTCTGTGTTGGACTTTGTGTTTTGGGCCATGATTTGGGCTGTTGGGCAATCAATATTCTGAAGTTATGGGTCAAGGATATATGTAGGCTTGGGGTGAGGCCCATTGGAGGGAATGGGCCCAGTTTAGCAAAGTGGGCCTTTAGTGGGCTTGGGGAGTTTATCTAATGTTGGGTCTGCCATTTAGATTGAGAGTTGGGCCTTGATGGGCCCAATGGGTTTTAGATCATTAATGGGCTGGTTAGTGGGCTACGTCTAGACCTAAAGAGTGAGAGTTGGACTTAGTTCCTATTTGGGATAATTGTGGGCCATGGCATAGAGTTAGAGGCCAGTGTATAGCAACAGCATTACTAGAGGTTGTTCATCATACGAGGTGAGTCTTCTCACTATACTTTACCTTGAGTGGTAGTTATGTATGAATGAAAGGTCTTATGTACTTATATTGAGTATTATGTTATCCTACCTTATATGTTATGTTGAGCATTATTTCTTTGTGATTTATGCCGTGCGGAGCTTTACAGACCGGACCAGAGGGTCCAACGATTTATGAGGCCAGAGGGTCCTCAACCAGGCCAGACCGGAGGGTCCAACGAGCTAGATCGGACTAGAGGATCCAACGAGCTACGAGATTAGAGGGTCCTGCTAAGACACACGGGCCGGAGGGTCCTACAGAGTATAGTCTCGAGTGGCAAATTTGTTGTATGTGGTATTTTGGGGAATTCACTAAGCTTCGTGCTTACCTTGTTATGTGTTATGTGTTTCAGGCTCTTATCAGGATCGCGGGAAGGCGGCGGCTTGATTGTACACACAAGAGAAAAGAATCATGAATGAGGATCCTCGATTTTGATAATTACTTTTGAAAACTATTTTGAAATATGTTATGACATCGACACTTGAGATTTTGTGAATTATTATATGTGATGTTGGTAATATAATAATTAAAAATTTTGTTTGAAAATTTACGGTGTTACACCTTTAGATTCTTTTAGTGTGGGGTTTGATTTTCATAATCATGCATTGCCTACTTTTTTTTTGTTGTTTTTTTGGAACCGGCAGAAATATTATAAAACTACTGCTTAAAGAGAAGCAAAGCAGGGCGAAAAAAAGGAAAATCAATTACAAAATGTTAGAAGGTTGACAACCGGCAACCCCCTAACTTTTCTGGCCGCAATGGAAAAAAATTCAAAAAATTTTAAAATTTTTATTTTTTCTACTATTGTGCAACCCATAACTTTCCCGTGCACCTCCTACTGTGAAATCCTACGTCTGCCCCTAGTTACAATACCAATCAACCCAATTACAAATTTCAAAATTACCTATTTTTTTAATCCAACTAAACATCATTCTGATCATATTATCTGTCAATTTAGAAGGGTAAGTACGAATTTTGTTGAAGATATGCATTGCATACTTTTAAAATATTTTGTCTTTATAATGTTTTCTTTATGATGTTTACGATTTTAATAACGGTGTACTTATATCCTTCGTAATGTTTTCCCCCAACTTGTTGAAGTTTGATAACTTTGTAAGTTTTCTTAGAAACAAGGGGCTATTATTTATTTGCAAATAGTAATTGCTATCATTTATTATTATTAAATACAATATGACGATATAACTTGGTTTTGCTGACTCGGTTTGATAATGTTCGTTAAAACTCAAAGTATTAATTTATTTTTGTACTTTGTATGTCGAAAGATTATATCATTATCTTGGAACTTAATTATGAACTTGCTAACTTCAAACATAAATTTACTAACTATTAAGGGATAATAACTTGAAAGGGTAATGGACTTTCTACTTTTGTCACATTTAGTCACTAAACTTTTTTTCGTTATCTATTTGCCATTGAACTATTGAAAATGTTCACATTTTACCATTATGACTGGCTGTTACCGGTCATAATGCTAAAATGTGAACAATTTCAATAGTTTAGTGGCAAATAGATAGCGAAAAAAAGTTTAGTGATAAAATGTGAACACAATCGAAAGTTCGTTTCCCTCTAAAAAGTTCAATGACTAAATGGGAACAAACTTCCTATTGTATTATGTTTTAGCAAAATTATTTATTTTTGTTTAATTATAGCAACATTTGTTGATGAATAAATCTATTAAATAAAAAAACAAAATGCAACATCCGGATTTCCAAGTATCATAATTTAAGTATTTTTCTTTTGAGTTAAGAAGAGAGATTCGACGAGTTGACGCCTCAACTCATCGAGTAAGGTCGCAACTGATGACTCGGATTAATGAATGGACTTGACAAGTCGGTGAGGCAACTCGACGAGTCTGTACTGTTGGCAGAAACCCTAAATATTTGGGCCCGATCCATATTTAAAGGCACTTATGGCCTTCAATTGCGACTACCTTTCCCATAAGTGAGAACCCTAGCGAGCTTGAGTGTGTAGAGTGAGAGGAAGAGTTATGTTGAGCTTTTTGGTGTGATAGATCTGGACCCTTCTAGGTTCAAAGAGTCGAGAATATGAAGCTTTAGTAGAGTAAACCTTGGGGTTCGAAGTTAGGAAGTATTTATGGGATTTTTATGGTAGATATAGTTACTTTCATCTTACACATAGATATGAAGTATTTTATATAAATTACGTGTTATGTGTGCATATTATTTGAATACTTGTTTTCTATGCTGAATGAACGATTTTATACATGTTTTAAAAGATTTAAACGGTATATTTATTTTATATCTACAAATATATTGCGGATGAAACATGGGTAGATGTGATAGTTGGTGTGTGATGAAATAAAATGATGAGAGATATGTGATGATAGAAAGGTGATGATAATTAGGTATATAGATGATGATGATGAATATGTGATGTAGGATGAAAGGAGATACCATAACCTTAACCAGCAATGTGGCGATGTAGTTATCTACCAGAGTATAGATGGCGACCACGGACTATTCTAGACAACCCAGTGGAAACACCAGCAGGCCCATAACCTGTAGGTGATGAATTACGAGTTCAGGCGATGTTGTAACTACGTATTCATGCGATGATACTCTAACCCCTTACTATGAATTATGAGTTCAGACGATGTTGTAACTACATATTCATGGGATGTCACAAATTTCGCATGCCAAACTTATGATCATAATTCACATAAGTGAGAATGATTCATTTTTTTGTAAAACCAAAATCAAATTGGAAATTTTGATTTTTTATTTTGGAAAATGTCAAACCATTGGTTTTGTATTTCGGTTTTGGTTTTTTGTTTTTTTAAATATATTTTCAAGGTTTTTTTTTTAATTATTTTTTTATTTTTTATTTTTATTTCATAGATTTCTTCATCAACAAATGTTGCTACAATTTAACAAAAATAAATAAATTGCTAAAACATAATACAAGAGGAAGTTTGTTCACATTTAGTAATCGAACTTTTTAGAGGGAAACGAACTTTCGATTTTGTTCATATTTAGTCACTAAACTTTTTTTCGTTATCTATTTGTCATTGAACTATTGAAACTGTTCACATTTTACCCTTATGACCGACAACAGTTTCAATGTGAACAGTTTCATAAGGATAAAATGTGAACAGTTTCAATAGTTCAATAACAAATGGATAACGAAAAAAAGTTTAGTGACTACATGTGATAAAAGTCAAAACTTCGTTACCCTTTCAAGTCATTATCCCAACTATTAAAGGGCTAACTGTTTCACCGAACCGAAAAATTGACAAAACCTGGTTAACCGTTTTTTCTTTTTCTGGTTTGCCCATAAGTCATATCTATATTTAATATTTTCCTAATATATCCTATATATTTGTGTCCTTTTTTATTTTTCAATTTTATTTAAAGAACTACAATGTAAATATTAAAATACCATCTATATAGTTGTAGCACATCTCTTAAGTTCGTATAGAAAAAAAAAAAAAAAAAAAAAATTCAAAGTTGAGGTATATAATATAACTTGTTTGAGTTGTTTCATATCCAAAACTTCATAATGATGGTATTCACATTCACAAATCACAATGCAAACATTGTCTTTTTTGGTGGTGGGCCATGGTGAAGGTCAACATCTTTGATTCCTGGCAGAATGGGCCCTTTGATGGTCAAATGAGAGTACCAAGTGAGTTGAAATGATCCCACGCCTCCTGTACCACACCCCATAAAGCAATCATAATTTTCAACACCAAAATCATCAATTTCTTTTAAGTGTATTGTCACAAAGGGTATTTTCGTAATTTACCTGAAGTATATCGAACACCTTCTCCGCCATATACTTTTTATTCGAATCCGCACCTTTTTGCTGTAATTTATCCGGGTGCAAACATAACATTGCTCGATTGTACGCTTTTTTCACCGCATTTGCTTCTATTATATCAACAAGTGCCACTGGCTTCCATCCACTATCTGCCCAAAGCACCTGAAAACCTCAAAATAATATTAAGTTCTTAACTCATTAAGTCAAAAAAAAAAAAAAAAAAAAAAAAAAAAAAAACAGTAATCCAAGTCAAGTTTTCGGCTTACAAGTTGTAAAGTGGAGAGTAGTGAGCGAATGTTTCCTTTTCTTCCACTTGACCAATGATGGATCTTCGAATCCAAACCCTACAATCAACCATATTATTTGTCTAAATACAAATTTTGATTAAAATTAAATTAATAATCATAGCGATTTTTGTAAAACAAAAGAGTTACTTTAGTGTCGAGAGACTCTTCTTGTTTTTTTAAAACTTCGTCCTCAACAGAAGGCAATTCTTCTACCTATACAGTAACAACAACAGTGAGTAACAGTAACAGTAACGTGACAAAAAAAAGTAAAAACGAAAAAAAAGCATACGTGGAAGTTATCTAAGGAGGGATCGTCTGTATTTTCAATATTAACCTTTGAGACACGAGGAACGGATTCTGAGAAATAGAACAAAAAAGTTGATATTAGGTTACAATGATCTATCTGATTTAAAAATAATCTTAATTTTTTTATTTAACTAACCAAAAGCGGGTGAAGCTTCCTTTTGAAAGTAAATATCTTCGAGCTTTCTAATTGGACGATTCTGTGGAAATTTTGGCTTGTTGGACTTCTTAATTTTTCCCCCCACCTTACAAACAATAAATTTTGTTAAAAAAGGAAATTATTTGTGTAAATTAATCTATTTTATCATTTTCAATTTATTCCCGGAATAAAGTATTCAATTCATACTGAACGTATAATATTTTCTTCGAACTTTTTATTTTTATAACTACAAACATAATAATTTAATTATCTCTAATGTAAAAAAAAAAGATCCGTTGTCATTGCCTTTTATATGTGTCTATTACTGTATTACATCTAACCTCCTTAATATAAGAATAATTCTATTTTCAATTCTTTATTTATTTTCACTAATTAATCTATTTTATTAGATATACAATAAGTTTTTCATTTTATTCTCCGATATAAAATATTAAATTCTTACCGATCATATAATATTTTCTTCAGACACTTTATTTTTATAACTACATACATAATAATTTTATTATATCTAACGTTTTTGAAAAAACAAAAGATCGGAAAACGTTGTCTTTTATATTTTTGAAACATCCAGAATTGAAATATGATAAGGAAGGTTTATAATTATATATTTTTGTTAAATAAAGTTAGTAAAATAAAAATAATTGTAAGTAAAATTACCATAAACGAAGCATCTGGAGCCATTTTCACATTTTCTGAACTCATTTTGGTATCCAATGATGTAGTTCTTGAAACATCTGGAACTATTTTCTCATTTTTTGTTGTAGATGAAGCATCTGGTATTATTTTTATTTTTATATTTTCTTTAGGCGCTTTATTATCCAATGGTATTGTGGTTGAAGCAACATCATCATCATCATCATCATCATCAGGCACCATTTTCATAATATCTTCAGGTATTTCACTATCAAATGTTTTATTTGAAGCATTTTTTGCCATTTCTACATTTTCTTGATTACCACTAACTTCTTCATGAGTTCGGGTTTTTGCAGTTGTCTTCCATCTAGAGCTTAAACTTCCATGGACAACATTTGTTTTGGTCTTTGGAGGACTTTTTTCTTGATTTGATATCTTGAAGAAATCTTTGACCATTCCTTTGACTCGATTTTTAGGTGATCCAATAACAGATTTATTCATCTTTTTCACCTCAACTTTCTTCTTACCAATAACACCACTAATTGTTTCTTTCTTTTCCACATCAATGGAAGCAGCCTCTTCATAACCTAAACCCATACAGAAAAAATAATCAGCATTCAAATGTTACAAATTTCATTGGAATATGTGAAGCTAGACATTACCTTGTTCTTTGGTTTCATTAACTTGTTGTTTCATGATTGAGGTTTCTTTCTCAATGGATTCCATTAAAGTTGCAGAAGGAGGGTTGATATCTTCTTTCTCTGTAGATAATTTATCATTTTGGAAAGAAGAATCTTGCATGGTTTCCATTGATAGGGCTGTAACTTTGCTACCACGAAGAGACATAAGTAATGGAACACCTACGTTGGCCCATTTGTGTATAGAGAAGTGAAATTCGTTACTTGGAGATCCTGTTCTTGCTGTTCTGGGGTTTGATTTGTGACCTGTTTCCTTTTCTGTGGATTGTTGTTCTTGATTATTTCCAAAAACATCCCGCCCTTTGGTTGTTGGGCTTGAAAATCTCGAGAGAATGGTGGTGGATGAATGTGGATTTGAACCAAATACAGGAATGTCTACGGCTTTGTTCATCCTGGGAGGCAGGCTAGCGAATTGGGAGTAAAGGGAAAGTATGAATAAACAATAGTGTATCATCATCATCATATACATGAACCCTAAATTTGAAATCAGAAAATTTGAGAAAGGAAATCACGGAAAGTTGTTTGAAAGCAGGAATTTGGGGAAGATTTTAGCGTTTTATAATACAATCAAATATGAAATCGAAAGCAACGATAGATTCGTCTAATTTGATTACTCAATGCACTTTGAAACAACGAATTTAGAGAAAGAGAAGTGAGAAAAACCTGAATTCAGTAGGAATTGAATTGGCGAAGGGCTCAATTTTAGGGTGAGTAGGGCTTAACGATCTCGAACCAGGCGTCGGAGAAGACCATCTCGGCGAGCGAACAGACTCACTACTACTCCTGAAAATATCGTTGTAGAAATCATCACTGGTAGGTCTTCTCGGCGAACTATACGACTCACCGAAAACCGGCCGTTCACCCAATCCAGACGGAGAACTGGTGGACTCCTCCGACGACTTGATTCTTCCACCACCAAAACTGTACCTCGTCCGCGTCGGAGGTCCGCCAAACACGTCATCGAAATCGACGTCGTTGTCGTTATCGTTGTCGTGGTTCTTCACATGCGCCATATCAGAAGAACTTGCTCCATTTTCGAACGACCTCTGTGAATGACCGAACCTCATCGACACATGCTCACTCCGACCAACTCTCTCCATTCACTGAACCTCAATCCAAATAGCAAAATCAATGGGAAATGAGCAGTGATTAGACAACACTGCAATGAGATTACAAATAGCGTTTGGATTCGATTTCAAAAGCTTATGAGATGGCAACAGTGAATGAACCAATTTGCCGATGAAATTTCTGGAATGGCGAACAAGGACAAAGAACAGCGGACGTGGGGTCAAGTTAAGCACGAAGGGAAGCCACAAGATGGCGGGGGACCAGGTGGATAAGGCGGGGGAAGGCGGACGACAGCGGCCGGTTGTTAGGCGTATATGGTTTTCGGCCGGTATACAAATTCTCTTGGCGCCAATTAATTGCCATAAATATACTCTATCCACAAATAATAGAAACAAATTTTCCACCATAATCTTAATCCTTCAAGTCAATTTCAAATTTTCAAACCTTATATTATAATGTATACAATTATACATATATCTACATTCTTTTGTCATGTTTGGTATATATTATTATATGATGGATATTTTTTAGGCATACTTAGTAAAATTACCGGAGACATTTAAAATATTTAAAATGATATTTTTGTAAAATATAAAATAGAAACATAAAGACAATATAGTAATTTTGTGATAATATAGAGGAGATTTTTTTAAACACTACCTCAAATAATTTTTGAATTTGAAACTTTTTATTTAAACTAAAAAGTAAAATATCCTGCTGTCGAACACAGTTTTTTCGAGTTTTTTCTTAAAAGTTAAAATTTAGAATCTTTCAAAAACTATGTGTCGAAACAAGTCTTCAATCTTTTGGTTAATCATCAAATTTGAATCTTAATTACTTTGGTTAAAATTGAATTTGTATTCAAAAGATTAATGGAACTATTGAACGTATAATTGTATTTTTCTTTTGGTCAATTATGAATTACAACAAGATGCTTGTGTGATTTGTTTTGGTTATAATGTGTTTTATGTCGTATTTAGTTAAATTTTTTTCTAAACCTTTAAGTATTAAAATGAATTTTTTATTAAATTAGATGTCAATTTGAATATCACAGTTGTGTTAAAATAGATACAATAATGGTTTTCCGTAGATATTAGGTATTTGACTACCTTTAAAAATATACCTAACTCATTTAATGTATAAATAAGACCAAACTTTTTTAAGGAAAAATGTAGTTTAGGTTTTTGATATGTTTTGTATAGATTTAAGTAATTTACCCAAGGTTGTAAGGATCATAGGCTTACGGAGATCTAACTCATTCTTTTGTTCTTTATAAAAAAGAAGTAAATAAATTAGCATCTTATGTTGTATGATTTATTCTAATTTATACTTTACTTTACTATAGCAAGAAGTAAATTATAACAGAAAGCTATCTAAAGTACTTCTAACACAACTCATTAAAGTGATAAAAGTGGTAAAGATTATCTCTCTTGTAACATACGTTGAAACTTTCATTTATTTTGTAGGAGTAATATTTTTTATGTTTATTAATTTACCATATATCTTCAACTTTTCCGTATTATTTAATATAATGAATACGTCGACAAGCATATGTAAAATGCATATAGGATGTGTCAAAACTAAGTCAAAGTGGTGGGCTCAATAGAGATGACGTGGAAATGGATAACTAGGGTTGAAATGAAGTGTCTTCCAAAATCTGCCTTTGAACTCCTTAACATGAGAAGATGAGGCTCTATCTATGGACTAGCATAAACTTAACTATCTAGTAACTATCTATAACTTTCAAAAGATTCTTATTTTGTTATACTTAGGGCGGTGGGTATCGATTCGAGATGAGGTTACTAGTGCAAAAGTGAGTTTGATCCATGTAAAAAATTGGTCATAATATATATATATATATATATATATATATATATATATATATATATATATATATATATATATATATACTAGCCGTTACCCGCGCACAGCAGCGGGGACAAATAACTTCTTTCAACGATATTTTTTTAAAGAAAAATGTTATGTTCCAAAAGAAAGTTCATGCCGTGGGTGAGAGGAATGGCGGTAGTCGTGATAGTGGTTGGTTGAAGGCGGAAGGAGGCAGAGCGGTTGTGGTGGTGGTGGTTATACTGTCTTGGTTACTGGTTAGGGTTCTTCGAGAGAGTGTGCGTATATTTCTTACTTTGAAGGGATTACGAAGATAAATATTATGAGATGGCTTATTACCAATGTGAGAAAAAAGATCCTCTATAAATTGTTGACATTGACCGCTTCAAATGGCTGAAGTGTTGAGATTAACGGGTTCAATTTGCAAATTAATTTTTCTATTAATTTGATACGAGATTTTTAGGGGATAAAGGATAAGGTTAAAGTTTTAATATTATTATATTATAAATGGATTGTACTTCAAGCTTAATAGTTTGGACGTCTTAAAAAATAATATTATTATATTCAATCTATTTATAGAAATAGTTAGATTTCTTTTATAAGTAGTAAAAAAAAATATATATATATATATATATATATATATATATATATATATATATATATATATATATATATATACACGGAGTGGTTCAAATGAGAACCAAAAAAGGTTAAGTACCCTAAGAACCCTCATTTTCTTAGTAAACATGTATTATGACTAATATTAAATATGTTAAAATCCTAATTTTTTTCTTATTGGTAAAAAAAGGGCAAAATCATAATTTTTACAGTCTAATATATTTATTCATACATTCATTTATATTTTAACAAAAAAATTATACGAAATACCACTTTATATAGTCCGTTTACAGTTTAATACACATAATTCACAGTTTAATACAATCCATTTTACACTAATTTACAATTTTAGAGAAGCCAAACCCAAACTCTACCACTACCACTACCATCACAGACCGCCACCAACCACCCATCTCAGCGTCTCGACCATATTTCTATCCAAATACAGATTTGTATATAAAGTCAAACATTTACAACTTAAATATTACATTCACAATTTAATAAACTTATTAATTCATTCGTTTTGAATTTAATACAAAACAATTATAAAAACTAATGCATATTTACATATGTATACAGATAAAAAATAAATATAGTCACAAGACAAATGATACAAAAAATCATACATCAATAATTCATATTTTAACACAAATTTTACAAAAAATTCACACCAAATGCAGTTAATTCACAATTTAATACAGTTAATTACTATTTAATACAGAAAATACAACTTAATATAATAAATTAATAATTTAATACACATAATTCTATATTTTTAACTTAAAACTTTCATTTAAACTTTTAGATTTAGAAACTAGTGCTTATTTCAAAGTTTAATTTACATAATATTCATAGTTTAAATTATATATAATTTATTTAAATTAAAGAAAATCATATATGTGTATAATACTTCGTTCTTCTCAAAGAAGCAAATAGAATATTCATAAAAAATTCACAGGTTAATGCAATCGATTCAAATTTTAATACATAAAATTCACAGCTTAATACAATAAATTCACAGTTTAATACCTAAAAATTATATATTCACAACCATATTTTCAACTAAAACTTATATTTATACATTCATATCTAGAGATATTTATATGTATTAAACTGTGAATTTAATATATTAAGTTGTGAATAAAATTCATAGCTTAATACATAAAATTCAAAGTTTATTACAATACATTCATAAATCATTTACAAGTATAATACCATATTTTAGTGTACCAAACAGCTCATTCACAATTTAATACATGTATAAATTATCTTATATTTCAGAAACCAACATCAAAACAAAAACATATACATGAATCATAAAAGAGGATAACTTATCTGAAATCAACGAAGAAGATGAGTGAGAAATAGAAATATATCCCTACTCTACCACCACCACCACCATCAATACCACCAACTACCACATGTCACCATCAATCATCACCACCGTCAACCACCAGTATAAACAACGCCAACATCCTTCCCTCAAAAACCAAATCTAGATAAAAAAAAATCATAATGCACAATTTAGTTCAACATTTCAAACACTAAATCACAACTTAATTCAATATTGCAGACACTAATTCACAACTTAGTGCATCAGAAAAATACACATTCACAACTTAATAACTTACATATTCACAAATTAATACATTAAAAATGCATATTCATAGTTTAATAACTTTCTGAATTTGGTTGAGACATTTCAAACACTTTGTGTGCACCACACACATCAGATGCATAATCACCATAAAACACCAGATCTGATCAGGTATATAAGATGATATTATATTAACAATTTATACACTCATTCATAGCTTAATTTACCATATTCACTGTTTAAACTCTACAAAAACTTCATTTTAGCATTCACAACTTAATAACTTACCTAATTCCATTGAGACATTTCATCAAACACTTTGCATGCTTCTTTTTTTGCAGAACTTTCTTATGTAAACATCATCACCGGAGACCAGATTTGATACGGTGATGGAACCGACATTGGCCATCGTAAAATACCATTCATACAAACACCTTATCTAACCTGAAAATAGATAAACACATTAGATCTGATTAAAATCAGGTGGTGTTTGACTAAATATCAGAGAAAAATAGAAGAATGTGAGTTGCAGAGAAGGGGAATATGGTCAAAAAACAGATCTGGTAAGGATGAGACTGAGATTTCTCATATAATGGAAATACCAGAGAAAAAACAAGTGTTCTGGAACAAAAAACGAGTATATTAGCATCTGAACATGTACTAAATGCATAAGACATGACCAGATCTGAGAAATCAGTGTATATTAGATCTGAGAATTTGATGGTGACTGGTGATTTTTCCGGACAATCTGAAGTGAGGAAGCTCGCCGGAAAACAAAAAGCTTTATGAAATCGCTCTAAATTTCAGATCTGATCAGATCTATGCAAATCTGACCAGGTCTACGCATATCTTGTATGATAGAGGCCGGAGGCGGTCATCATCAGTGGTGAAAAGAGGTTGTGGTTATGAGCGACGATGGAGGAAGAGGTCGGATCTGGACGTGACAGTGGTCGTTGATGGCAGATCTGG